ACTGGCAGATAGCACAAAGGGAAATCCTAAAGTCTTCTATAGATACATAACTGATAAAAGAGTGGTAAGAGGATTAAGGCCAACTGGGTCTTTAAGGGGATTTACAGAGGCAGCAGTGTGGTTAAGCGATTAAATAAAGACTTTGCAGTTATCATTACCAAGGAGCTAGATGCTATGCAGGTCATTGGACAAAGGAGGAAACTCTCTCACTAAGTTGGGTTCAAAATTGATGAGGAAGAACTGTTGGATAGACTGTTGGTACTTCATATTCAAAAGGCAACGAGACTGGACAAGATGCATACAAGGATACTGAAGGAAGTGAGAGTGGAAATTGCAGGGGCACTGGCCATAATCTTCCCTAGACTCAGGATAGGTACAAGAAGAGTGGAGAATTGCAAACATCATACCTTTGGTCAAAAAGGGGTGTAAGGGTAAGCTGAGTAATTACAGACCAGTCAGTTTCAACCTCAGAAAGCTTTGAGAAACAATTATTCAGGACAGAATTAGTTGTCACATGGAGAAAGATGAGCTGATTAGGGAAGGTCAGCATGGATTTCTAAAGGGGAAATGAATGTTTAACTAACTTGCTGGAGTTTTTTGAAGAGGCGACAGAAAGGATTAATGAGGGTAATGCTGTTAATGGGACAGCTTTGGATACAGTGCCACACAACAGGCTTGTGAGAAAATTTATAGCTCATAGAATGAAAGGGACAGTACCAATATGGGTACAAAATTAGCTGCATTATAGTAAACAGAAAGTAAATTGTCCATGGATATTTTGTGAACCTGAGGAAGGTTTGTAGCTTGTAGGAGGTCTCCAGGGTTGGTATTTGGATTCCTGCCTTTCCTGATACATATTAATAATTTAGATTTTGGTGTCCAGGTGACTATTTCAAAATTTGTGGTTTATATGAAATTTGGAATCACTGTAAACTATGAGGACAGCATAGAGCTTCAAAAGGACACTGGCAATTTTGTGGAGTGATTGGATAGGTGGCAGATGAGGCTTAATGTCGAGAGGTATGCTGGAATGCATTTTGATTGGAAAAATGTGGACAGGCAATATAGAAAAGGGGTACAACTCTAAATAGGGTGCAAGAGCAGAGGGACCTGGTTACGTATGAGCACAGATCATTGAAGGTAGCAGGTAGTCTTTTGGAAATACAAATACGCTATATCTACCTTTATCAACTCTACTTGTTATGTCTTCAAAGAACTCTAGACAATTTGTCAAACTTCCCTTTTACAAATTATGTTGACTCTGAATTAGGGTTTTCTAAATGTCCTATTAGAACATAGAACATAACAGCGCAGTACAGGCCCTTCGGCCCTCGATGTTGCGCCGACCTGTGAAACCAATCTGAAGCCCATCTAACCTAAACTATTCCATTATCATCCATATGTTTATCCAATGACCATTTAAATGCCCTTAAAGTTGGCGAGTCTACTACTTTTGCAGGCAGGGCATTCCACGCCCTTACTACTCTCTGAGTAAAGAACCTACCTCTGACATCTGTCCTATATCTATCACCCCTCAATTTAAAGCTACGTCCCCTTGTGCTAGCCATCACCATCCGAGGAAAACCTTTACAATATTCATTCAATATTATAAATGAAATCCTGAACAAAGGGCAATCTGAGAAACATTTACCCATAGAAAGTTTTGCGGATAACTTGTTTTTGCAATCATGTACGTTCAATAAAGGGTGTCACTGTGAAAAATTTAAAGATTGACCTTGCTAGCGTAAAGGAAATGCGAGAAAGAAAAGAGATTGCCAAAAGAAAGTGGGTTGGCATAAGTAGCCAGTTGTCACACTATTTTACCAAAAGAGCTATTTAACCCAATAAATTATTCGAGATCCCTCATAAAGACTTCAGTGACATGGGACATTACAAGAACATGAAAAATTCATTTTTGTTTTGGTTGCTTTTTGAAGAAATGCATTAAAGTTTTCTTTTTGTTTAATGAAAGAATAGTGAATGTAGAAAATAAATTATATTACATCGAATATAAAAAGAATTGTTATTTAGCTGTATTATAAAGTGGGTGTTTTTATTTATTTATTTAAGGGTTGTGGATATTGCTGTCCAGGCCAACATTTATTGCCAATCCCTAATCGCCCTGGAAAAGGCCTTTTTGAACCCGTGCTGCAGTCTGTTTGTTTTAGGCATACCCACAATGTTGTTGTGGAGGGAGTTTCAGAAGTGTGATCTAAAGACACTGAAGGAATGGCAATGTATTTCCAACTCAGGAATGGTGAGTGGCTTGGAGAGAAACTTGCAGGTGGTGGTCCCACACATCTCCTACCTTTGCCCTTCTAGATTGTGGGTTTGATAGGTGCTGTCTAAAGGAGCCTTAATGAATTTCTGCAGTGTATCCTTTAAGTGGTACACACTGGTGTAACTGAGGGTTGATTGCAGAGGAAGTAAATATGAAAAAAATCATTTTACATAATTTTCATTAGTTTGTTCAAGGGTTGTTTTGTATGTCTTCAAAAGTGCTATTTAAAAAGAAGAGGGGACACTATTAATACAACAATAAAGCATGCTAAATAGCAGGTGAGTGCGGCCAATTGATGAATTAAATCAGTAAATATAAAGGGGCAACTGATCAGACTTGTTTGTGGAAGCAGTTGAAGGACGAAGTATTTTATAAACTCCATCCACAAAGAAAGGTGTTTGAGTTTCCCTTTCAGCAACAAGCCTGAATCTGAGTTGACAACAGGGACAGATATGGGCTAGTAAAGGAAAGCCAGCATGAAGTTCTCAAGGAGAATCCAGATTTAACTCACTTGCTGGAGTTCTTTTGAATATGTAACAGAGAGGGTTGTTGGGAGCAATGTGGCTGATGTGGTGTACATGAAGTTCCAAAAGGATTTGTTTTAGTGCTGCACAACAAACATCTGAGCAAAGTTATAGCTCATTGCATTAAAGCCACAATGGCAGCATGGATACAAAAGTTGGCTGAATGAAAGGAAAGAGAAAATAATGGATAATCAATTTATTCCTTGCTGTTGAAAGGTTGGCAATAGAATTTCCCAGAGGTTAGTGTTGCTTTTCCTGATAAATATTAATAATCTAGAATTTGGTGTAATTACACAATTTAAAAATCTGTGGATGATATAAAACTTGTAAGTATTATAAACTGCAAGGGAGGCATTGATAAGTTCGTGGAGTGGGCAAATAACTGGCAGATGAAGTTGAATGCTAATAGAGATTGTGAAATCTTCCAGATTCAAGGAGAAGCAACAGTAAGCAGCAAAAGAACTGCAGATGGTGGAAATCAGAAAGAAAAACAGAAATTACTGGAAAATCTCAGCAGAACTGGCAGCATCTGTGGACAGAAATCAGAGATCTTGGGTCCAATGATCCTTCTTCAGAATAAGAGTCAATGGACCAGAAACGTTAATTCTGACCCAGCAATTGCTGTTTTCATTTTCTAAAATAAACCCAGCAAAAGGTAATTGATTCTGAAAAGCAAGTACCTTGCTCTGTTTAAGTACTTGCAATGGGAATGACATGCCCCAGAGAATCAACATCACGCCAAGATTAAGTAGACAACAACTCATATGTATGTCATTAAGAGACCTGATTACTTTAGAGATTATGGATGAAGTGAATGCACAGAGACAGACAAAAGTGGGATTGGCTAGAATGAACAATTTTTGTTTATGTGTGATTTTACTGACACCCCCACATGTACTGTGTGGCTTGCATTTGCAAATTGTAATGTAAATAAGTTCTTCTGCACTTTTTAAGCAAACAGGCATATTTAGAAGAAATGATATTGCAGGTATTCTATCTGCCATCACTTGCCATTGTCATGTCAATTTTGTTGCAAGTGCCTTCAGTATAGAAAAAGAAGCCATGAAAGTCTATAGCGAGGGCAGGAGCTAGGGCGGGAGTGAGAGGAAGAGTGAGGGGGAAGAAGGGCTAGCTGAAGAAGTTCTTTATTATAGTCACTTGGGTCTTTAAAGGTGAAAATGGAGGATGGAAATAGGAGCTAGCGGAAAGAGAGATTTAGGGATTAAGGTAAGAGCATGATAACCGAGGGTGGAAGTGAAGGCATAAAGAAGCGGCAGAAGATGTCTGGTGGTGTATTGATGCAAACAGCATCGGGTGAAGCATCAAAAAACATCTCACGTGCACACGTGGAATGTGCAGGCTGCAGAATGGAAAGCCTGTGATAAATAGCATCATAGTGAATGTTGCAACATTGAACAGCAGTGTTGTCCCTATTTTATGAATGACATTGAAGTGAAACAACATTGACTGAGTCAACATTAAGTCGGCACTTACTTACGATTCCCTTAAAAGCACAAATCATTTTAAAAGTCAATGATCTAACAGAATAAAGCTGTTAATTATCACAGGTTTGACATTATTGCCAAAATATCTAAATGTTCACCATGAATAAATCTTCAAAGATACTGCAATCAGTGATCCAATAATTAACTTATTTACAGGTTTATAATAATGCATATTATATAGTAAATATATACACTCCGATATAGTAAATAGTGATGTCAAATGAAATGATTGTACTTTTTTTTTAATAAGGAAGAAAGTATGAATTGAGGAAGAGCAATTAAATGTCCATATTCATAGTATGAAGATTGATTGCTTGGTTCAATTCCAAACTTTGCTACAGTGTCAGCATATCTGCATCTATATAAATCATTCTCACCAGGCATACCATTGAAACATTTTTAAAAAATGAACCAAGTACCAAAGTAACACAGTTCTTTTTCTCTGGTAGCACTGATACATACAAAATGGGATGATCTGTGTACCATAATTGAACTTAAACATCTGTTCTCTCAAGCTCTTGCACAATTTATTATTGTCCAGTCCTAAAATGTAATTTAAACTGTCTGCTATTGTAGCTTTCTCAAAATAGACTACATCAGATTAGCAAGTTTGCAATTAATAAATAATCAAAGTGTAGCACACACATTGCAGATCATGTTAAATTAAATACTTGGGAATTCAGCACTTGCCTCATCAGTCATCAGGGTTGCAATCGACCTGCCAATTTCATGATATTGTGGACCTTTACCAAGAGGCCCCAAGAGAATAAACAAAAATCTATAGAGAGAGAAAAGCAGTAATGTAAGTAAATTATGAGAAATAATTTCAAAGAAAATTCTGGCTGGCATTAATTTTCAATTGAAGCAGTTAGTTCCACAGGAATACCTCGTTTAAGGCTTTGCTTCATATATTACCCAACTTGTTGATCATTTTCCTTCCCCCAGTATTGCTTGCTGTGGTCACATCCAAGTATTAACAGGTGTATAGATAAATGGATGCGTATGAATTCCAATGCTGTATTGAATGATGCTAAACTGAGTGAGGTGAAAATTATGTTAACATTCAACATGAGCCCATAATTATAACGCATAATGTGTTTCTACATTACAAAAAACACTGACTGGACAGCAATGTTTATTTCTCAATACAAGAAAAATAAAATTATCACTTACATTTGGTACAGTTAGTATCGAAACTATGGAGAGAGTTGGCATAATCACCATGAATCACCACCACTTCCCTAGATACTTTCCATCTTTTGTTGTTATTCCATCAATTTACAGAAAATTGTTTAGAAATTGCAGAACACAGTTTGGCCCAAAAGATCTATGCCAGCATTTATACTCATACATTCCACCAAATTTTCCACTGCAACAATATATTCTTCTATTTCTTTCTCACTCAAGTACTAACTGGACCTCTCCAAAAATTTACTTATACAATTTGCCTTAACCATTCCAAATGACAGCAAGTTCACATTTGCACCACTATCTGAAAAGTAAATCTCCTTACTCTCTTTTGAGTATATTTGTAATTATTTTATATCCATTGTTTTGGACTCCCACAAATAGAAATAGTTTCTCCAATCTTACTCTATTAAAAACCTTCATAATTTTAAACAGCCCTGTAAGTCACCCCATTTCCAGAGAAATTCACCATAGCTTGTTCAGTCTTCCTCATTGGTTATAACCTCTGATTTCTGCTATCATTTATGCAAATCAAGTTTGCATTTCTTCTATGCTTCTACACATTTTTGCAATACTGAAACCAGAACAGCTAACTGTATGTTAAGCATGAATTAAAGTTCTTTTCCAATCTATCATAACTACAGTAAAAAATCTTTATTTTGTTTGCAAAATTCAGAATAATGGAAAGTCATTTTTGAAAAATCTGTAAATAAAACTAGCTCTTTAAATTAACCCACAAGTTTATTTAGTTAAATATATAATGCTTATGTGACTCCATTTGTTTCGTATAATTTTCAGACAGCTAATAATCAGTCAGACAAATAATACTTTGGCTGTACCTAATGTAAAACGGGCATCATTTGAAACAATGTCACAAATGTTACTTTCTTCATTTACGTTTGTTCTCATTTCTTAAAATTTGTGAATTTCATTTTGTTGTCTTGCTTGTCTTTTCGATTGCAATTCCTTGTTCCTTGGTCTTGATGGTTAACACAATTCCAGCTCAACTGAGTCTTGAAATTTACTCAGGAGTCAGTTTTCTCATCAGTTTCTGTAAATAGCTTTTTCTGATGAAAGTCCAATCCACAGGAGTTAAAAACTAGAGGGTAATTTCAGTAATCCCTCACTCCCAATCTGTTATTATGGATAGCGCAGGTTGGAATATCAATGAAATAGTATTGTATTGCAAGTTTGACCTGTGGTTTCATTGAGCATAGCTTCTTATTGGGAATGCAAAACTTAATTTTGTATGTCGCATATGTAACCTGTACAGATTCTATCAAAGGTAGTCAGTTTATATCTCAGTGATTACGTAAAACAAAATAAATAAAATATGCTGAACAATTATCTTCTACCTATGAAAGTATTTAATTATTAAAAATATTGCATGAATAATTCAGAGCTCTAAGTACTGACCTGGATTTTGCTCTTTTTTTAATTTGTTCATGAGATATGTCAAGTCCAGCATTTGTTTTACATCTCTAATTAACGCTGAGAAGGTTATGGTGAACAAGTAGTGGAAGGACAGTGTTTGCTGTTCGTCTCACTGGAAACTAGTAACAAACACTGTCGGGGAGGATTCTTCAAATCCAGCGTCTTTTCTGGTGTTGTGTCCTCTACATAGGAGTTGTGAACAGAGAGGCATGGATTTCCTGAAGAGGGCATAGCACCAGGCAGTTCTGAGGAAGGGTCACTCAATCTGAAATGTTAACTCTCCACAGATGCTGCCAGACCTGCTGAGCTTTAGCAGCAATTTCTACTTTTGGCACCAAAAAAGAAGTTGGATTATGGGAAATCTCTGATGACAACTCTGGGAAAATTTTGTAGAAAGCTACAGTGTGTTCTGAGGAAGGGTCACCGGACCCAAAACGTTAACTCTCTTTTCCTTTACAGATGCTGCCAGACCTACTGAGCTTTTCCAGCAACTTTGTTTTTGTACAATGCGACAGGGTCAGACTATTTATGAAGGGAAAGGGAAAATTTGTAAAGGGAATTTGTGCACGGAGCCTAAAGAGATAGGAGAGGTCCTTAATGAATACTTTTCTTTGGTATTCACAACTGAGAGGGACCTAGTTGTAGAGAAGGACAGTGTGAAACAGGCTGGTAGGCGAGAGGAGGTCAATGTTAGTAAGGAAGATGTACTCCGAATTTTGAGGAACTTGAAGATAGATAAGTCCCCAGGCCTGATGGGATTTATCCAAGGATTCTATGGGAAGCGAGGGACGAGATCGCAGGGCCTTTGGTGATGATTTTTTCATCCTCACTGTCCACGGGTATAGTGCCGGAAGATTGGAGAGAGGCAAATGTCATTCCCTTGTTCAAAAAAGGGAATAGGGATAACCCCGGAAATTACAGGCCAGTTAGTCTTATGTTAGTGGTGGGCAAATTATTGGAAAGGGCTTTGAGAGATAGGATTTATGATCAATTGGAAAGGCACAATTTGATTCGTGATAGTCGGCATGGATTTGTGAGGGGTAGGTCATGCCTTGCAACCTTATTGAATTCTTTGAAGAGGTGATCAAACACGTGGATGAAGGTAGAGCAGTGGATGTGGTATACATGGATTTAAGTAAGGCATTTGGTAAGGTTCCCCATGGTAGGCTCATGCAGAAGGTAAGGAGGCATGGGATAGGGGGAAATCTGGCAGATTGGATTCAGAATTGGCTGACCCTTGGAAGACAAAGGGTGGTAGTGAATGGAAAATATTCAACATGGTGCTCAGTTACGTGTGGTGTACCACAAGGATCTGTTCTGGGTCCTCTTCTATTTGTGATTTTGTAAATGATTTGGATGAAGGAGTGGAAGGGTGGATTAGTAAGTTCGTGGACGATATGAAGGTGGGTAGCGTTGTGGACAGTGCGGAGGGCTGTTCTAGGTTACAAAGGGACATTGATAGGATGCAGTGCTGAGCTGAGAAGTGGCAGATGGAGTTTAACCCTGAAAAGTGTGAGGTGATTCATTTTGGAAGGACAAACTTGAAAGCAGAATACAGGGTTAACCGAAAGATTCTTGGCAGTGTGGAGGAGCAGAGGGATCTTGGGGTTCATGTCCACAGTTCCCTGAAAGCTGCCACCCAGGTGGATAGAGTTGTTAAGAAGGCGTATGGTGTGTTAGCTTTCATTAGTAGAGGGATTGAGTTCAAGAGCCGTGAAGTTATGCTCCAGCTATACATAAGCCTGGTTCAGCCACATCTGGAGTATTGTGTCCAGTTCTGGTCGCCTCATTACAGGAAAGTTGTGGAAGCGTTGGAAAAGGTGCAGAGGAGATTTACCAGGATGTTGCCTGGAATGGAGGGAAGGTCTTACAAGGAAAGGTTGAGAGAGCTAGGGCTTTTCTCTTTAGAACGACGAAGGATGAGAGGTGACTTGATAGAGGTGTACAAAATGATCGGAGATATAGATAGAGTGGACAGCCAGAGACTTTCTCTGAGGGTGGAGACAGCTATTACGAGGGGGCATAGTTTTAAAGTGATGGAGGTAGATCTCGGGGAGAAGTCAGAGGTAGGTTCTTTACTCAGAGAGTGGTCGGGGCGTGGAATGCATTGCCGGAGAGGGTAGTGGAGTCGGCCTCATTAGGGGCATTTAAGCAGCTATTAGATAGGCATATGGATGATAGTATAAGGTAGGGGTGGAGGTTAGATATTCCTTAGTTTTAGGGTAAAAGTTCGGCACAACATCGTGGGCCAAAGGACCTGTACTATGCTGTACTGATCTATGTTCTATGTTCTATGAAGCTGGTAGAATGGGCAGAGCTTTCTTTGGGAAATACAGAAGCATGCTTACTTTTGATTCATAGGCCTGGAAACCAGCCTGAATGACTGGTATGACTTACTGTTGGCTTACCAGGGAGTTAACAGAGCGAGAAGCTTGGTTGACCAAGAAGCTTTACTCCCTTCAGCCACTGAATTTCCTGAGCCTTGGGAAACCCAATTAGGCCAGGGCAAACCTACAAACCAAGTGAGGGTAGAGGTTGCCAGCCTTATTATAATATTTAAATTGTCAATTCATCTCCTGGGAGAGAGTAGATCACCTCTCTGCCTTTCTTCCACTTCCATTAAATCCAGAGGAGGCAAATAGAAAATAAAGGAGCATGATGAGGACACTTGCATCCACAAAGGAGATGGCTTGCCATGTCATCACAGGGTGCTATTGAGAATATTGTGGTTAATAGCAGCTTACTGCCTTGTGCCTTTTCTAAACCCTTGTGCTCACCATCACCCTGCTATTTGGCATGATAAACACTGCTGATGGTCTGACCACAGACCACTTGCTCCTCACCCCAGACCTGATCAGTCACAGCAACCTCCCCTTCTAAGTTCTTGCTTCAACACTCAAGAACAGCCACTTGCATAGCCACAGCAGCTCAAGGAAGAAGCAACAGTAGAACAGTGACCAGAGACCCTATCACTTTACCTGACATTTGCAGCAGATGCTGTCATTGATTTACCCTTGTGGCTCATAATAAAGTTGGGATCAGCATGTGGTGATTCACCAGGCACAAGTGAACTGCAAACAGCCAGAAATAAAGGATGATTCATTTACCAGCTCATCAAAGTGCAAAGTGAAAGACAAGTACGGCTGCAGAGGACTC